CATGGGGTTCACACAGTTGATGAAGGTTGCACTGTTTGCATGGGTCTCATATCATTTATGAGGGTCACCCGGTCTGAGCTTTCTGTCGGTCACACATGAGCACTGTCTATATGGGATTTATACTGTTCGTGTGAGAGTCACACTGTATATGGAGGTTTATATCAGTTGCGGGCACTGTACTGTCTGTATGGGTTTTTATTGTGGGGTGATACCAGCTGTGTGTCCACTCAGTTCACACCGGCAAGTAAGTCTTACCAGCCTGTTCTATGGCAGACCAGGATCTAGGCACCAGCGATAAAGCAGCTAAGAAAACAGACCCAGCCCCTGCTTTGTGGAGCTGACATTCAGTAGGATAAGCAAGCCCTTTAAGGATTGTTCCTGTTTATGTGATTCACATCAGGGTTCAGATGTTTTAGGGGGTTGTGCGGGCATCAACTGGCCGCGAGAGTGTCTTATGTGTCTGGGGCTACATTTATTGGTATTACGTTGGGTATAGGGAGTTCACTGTTCAAAGATGAGTTTATTCTCTCATAGATTGTCAAGCACTGTGCCAGGCTTGGAGGATACTGCAGGCAACAAAAACCCTGCCCTCTCAGAGCTGACAATAAAGAGGAAGGATCCATACAATAAGCAAATACATTGTGGAAATATATGTCAGATGAGGATAAGGGCTATGAAGAAAAATAGTATATGAAAGGGATTTGGGATCTAGGAAGGTCAGGTAAGATCTTCTTGGTAAGGTTCTTTTTGAGTAAAAACCTGAAGAGCATGAGGGACAGAACTATGCCAACTTCTGGCGAGAAAAGTTTCACAGGCAGATGAAACAACATTGGCAAAAATCCCTGAGGCAGAAATATGTCTGGCATATTCAAGAAATAGCCAAGAGGCCCTAACTAATTTGGCTCAGTGGATAGGGCGTCGGCCCGCAGACTGAAGGGTCCCAGGTTTGATTCCGGTCAAGGGCACATGCCTGGGTTGTGGGCTCGGTCCCCACTTGGGGGCGTGCAGGAGGCAGCCAATCAATGATTCTCTCTCATCATTGATGTTTCTGTCTTTCTATCCCTTTTCCTATCTCTCTGAAATCAACAAAAATATATTTAAAAAAATAGCCAAGAGGATGGAGATGAAGGGAAAGGTGAGGAGTTGCCTTTTACTCCCAGTGGGCAAAAGGCCACTGGAGGGTTTGGGGCAGCAAAGAGATATCATCTGATTTAATAGAATGGCTCTGGCTGTGGGTAGAGCACAGACTGTAGGGGCTGGTGGCAGGAGGGAGACAAGTGAGAAGACCCCAGACCAGGGGTGTGGTGGTGATAATGGAGAGTAGCTAATTCGGAAGTAGCTTAAGTCAGAGCTGATGGGACATCCCTTCAGATTGGATGACAGATGAGGGAACGGGGTCATGGGTGACTCTAAGGTATTCGACTTGAGCAACCAGCAAAATGGAGTTGCAATTTCCCAAGATGGTAAAGACGGCGGGGGGGGGGGTAGGTGGGGACAGTTTGGGGGAGCTCAGGAAAACCATATTGACTTGGCAAACTGGAGAAATCCAAATGGAGATGCCAGTGAAGCACTTCGATGTGTGAGATTGGAATTGGGGAGAGTCCTGAGTGGAGATAGAAATTTGGGTGCAATCAGCACGGAGATGGAACATGAGGAGAGAAGAGGACTGAGACAAGCCTGGGGCCCTTCAGCATTTCAAGTCAGGGAGATGAGGAAGGGTGATGCTATCATGGGGTTACATTTTCTGTTTGGGGTGGTCATACACTGTTTAGGTGGCTACACACTCTATAGCAGTAGTTCTCAACCTTCTGGCCCTTTAAATATAGTTCCTCATGTTGTGACCCAACCATAAAATTATTTTCGTTGCTACTTCATAACTGTAATGTTGCTACTGTTATGAATCGTAATGTAAATATCTGATATGCAGGATGGTTCAACTGCCAAAGGGATTGCAACCCACAGGTTGAGAACCGCTGCTCTATAGGGTGAGTCATACTATTTCTAAGGGAACTACAATGTTCTCAGAGTAGTAATACTTCATTATCGATCACAGGGGGGTGGGAAGTGGGTTGTGACTATATTTTTATTATTCCCTTGAGTAAAGTCTTAAAGGATTGCAACTTCTGTGGGGACAGGTTCTGTCCATGCCTTAGGTTGACAACAATCGGATGAATGTTATCTATGTAAGGACAATCAACTGGAACAAGGATTGCTAGCTCCATGGGAGGAGAGGGGTGTCCTCACTGATCAGACAGAATTGTTTTCTTCATGGAGTGTTACTTTTCATCACAGGCTAGTTCAGGGTCTGACAGGCTGGGCTTTTCACCAGTCCAGGAGGCTTTCCATAGTAAACTGGAGATGGGTCCCTTTGTCCATTGGAGTTGACATAGCCCTGGGGTTGGATGGTTGTCCTCAAGGAATGAGTAGTGGTGGATAATTTTAATCACTAGTTCACAATACCTGGGCGTTTCCTATGGTAACGGTAGGGGTCACCTTCCCTGGAGGTGACTCTTGGTGTTGAAGAGGCAACTGAACTCACCAAGAGGGTTCACATTTCTAGGGTGAAATCACATGGACCCCTAAGTGGTTGTAGTATCTGTGGACAGGTTTTTACAAACCACCAGAGGTTACACTGTCCAGGGGACATTTTCGCCAGGGACTCTCATTCTCTGTGGGTGGTGCAGACACTCCCATGAAGTATGCCCACCATCCATAATTGTGTTTCATAGAAGCAGTGAGTTGCCATCAGGGTGGGATTATGCCATTAACAGGCAATTTCACACTGTCAATGCTGTGTGTTTATTGTCTACAGTTGGAGTCTGTAGGGTGAAGGGTGCTTACATTATCCATGGGGTACATGGCTCACTCTGCTAATAATTGTTACCAGTATTTATGGCATACTTATTTCACATCCCAGATTTCTCACAACAACCTGGTTATGTAAGCTCTTTTAATATCCCCATTTTACAGATGAGGAAGCTAAGGCTCACAGAGGTACACTGGCTCTCTGTCACAGGCAGGAAGTAGCAGAGTTAGGGTTGCAACCCCTCCGTCTCTGACTTGATGGTGGGAGGGCAGGGGTCACTAAGGCTATTGTCTTTGAAACTTTGCATTATCTTTATCCAAAGATGGAGGGCAGTGAAGGTGGTAGTAAGGCTCGAGAGTGTTGGTTTCCAATCAAATAGATCTGGATTTGAATTCTGGCTCCAATACTTTATGACTGAAGGACTTTGGCAGACTTCCCCATCTAGGCCTCACTTTCCTAATCTGTAAATGGGTATAACAATAGTAATTCTCCTTTTTGGGCTTTTGTAAGGATTAAATGAATGAGATGATGCCCTGGACAGTGCTTGGCCTAGCGCCTGGCACATTATGACCCCTAGGAATTTGGGAGCAGTTATAACAGTGATGATGATGATGATGATGATGATGATTGCAGGACCACACTGCTCCCAGAAGGTTACAATATCCGTGGGGGAGCTGCAGTGTCAGTAGTCAAGGTTACATAATTAATTCACCAGGGGGTTGATGCTTCCCCTGAGTCCTTGATCTCCCCAGGGAAGAGGCCTGAGGCTTCTACTGAGGCACTGGTGAGGGACTTCCTGCTGTAAGGCAGCTAGGAACTCAGCAAAGAGGCTGGACTTGAAGCCCTAAGAACCCAGAGCTGACCCTGCAGGCCTTCCCTCCCAGTAGCCTTTCTCTCCCTTGCCCCTCTTCTGGGTTTCAGCCTCTTTGAGCACCCCTCCCCCATAACCCCATCCTCTGGTACCTCAGAGTCTTTTTTGAGACTCTGCTTCCAGGCTCCGCCTGTGAGTACTGCTCTATTTGCCCTTTTCCCGTTGGTGGCTCCGCTAGCCATCTGATCAGCGCTGATTTCCTGTCTCCCGAAGCCGCAGGCTCCTTCCATCCCTCCCAGCTTCGGAGCACAGACTTCACGCTGCCCTACACGCGGGCCTTCATCCTTAAGCCCTGCCTTCCTCTCTCTTAGCGACCCCCCAGTGCCCCTTGGGAGCACATTTGTTCGGACTTTGGTCGCCCCCTCGTATCCTGGCCCCACCACCGGAACCCTCTGCCCTGGTGGTGGAGGTGGGGTACCTCCGGTGTTGGCCGGTCCCCTGGACAGCTGCAGCTTGGGGATGGTGGGGGGAGCTCCCCAATGCATTCTCTTTGGTCACTTCCTCCCCAGCTGGGATTGGGGCTATCTAGAAGGCCAAGACCCCCATGCCCGGAGGAGCGAAGGGCACAGCCGCCTCCTCATTTCCGATGCTGGGAAATGCTTTCCACCCATTCCACCCCACCCCTGGACAGCTGCCCCCATTCAGACTCAGGGTTGGGAGGGCAGGGGGTAAAGCTAGGCTGGGAAATGTGATCTTGATCATCTTCCAAGGTCCTGACCCCCCCACCTCCCCACCCCCCACCAGAGAAGATTCTGTCTCCTCCCGACAAAAGTTGCTGACCCTCACCTAGAAGGTACCCCCTCCCTCCCCTCTTACAGGCTTCCCAAAAGACAATCTGGATCCCGCAGTGGGCAGGAGAGGAGGGGAGGCAGGTCCCGAGTGCCGAGGACTTAAGTTATCTGCAGACTCGGAGTCTCCGAGAAGGGTCATGACCCCTGAGACCCCGTTCCACCACCAACCCCCACCTTCCTTCCTCCCCCGTTGCGCGGCCCCTTTAAGCTCAGAGCCGGCGAGTCCTCAGTGGCTGTACGCCGGCGAGAGTGTGTGTGAGTGCGCCGGGAGGGGGCGGGCGCAGTGTCT